GGAGAGGAGAGGAGAGGAGAGGAGAGGAGAGGAGAGGAGAGGAGAGGAGAGGAGAGGAGAGAGGCTTTCTACTCACTAACTAATAATCACCAAGGTTATCAGGGAAGAAGTCAGAAAATCTTGAGAATGTATTTAGTAAATCTTAACTGTGTATAACTGTTGGCGAAATTCATGGCTGCATTCATTAAGCTCCTTTCTCAAAAAAAAAAATATTTTAATGAACATATTGTAGCCAATATTGTTTTGAGAAAAAAAAAATATAATTAACCACATTGTGCATCATTTAATGTTTTTATAATCCAGCCATAAAGAACGCGGTGTYCTTTTTTTACTGCCTGACACGTAGCTCTGAAGCAATAGCCACATGAGGTCACTGTTGTTCATACACGAGTCATAAACTTGAATCACAAAATTTTCAGTTGAACGAAACCAAAATGTGTGACTGGAAAATAAAGTTCAGTGCATTATACATTAATAAAAATTTGTCTTGTGCAGTCTGCAAGAAGAATTTATTAACATGGGAAATATGAAATACAAACATTAAATGCATAAAATACAGATTATACTTTAGTAGTCTTTTTGCATTTGAAAAACACTTAAAATTATCCCATAATGCCTGAAAAGAGCATGGACATTATCTATTATCTTTACTGGAACTTTCTCTGTMGTACTTATTCAGCTGTGTTGCCACAATGGCATCAAGAGTTTCATAAGACTTAGAACTCTSTAATTTTTTACTTGCTTATCTTTCAAGAGAGATTTTATTTTTATTCCTGCTTTCACATGTAAAGTTTAGCATCTTCAGAAGCATAAAACTGCAAAAAGTTTAAATATTACAAGCAATGTGAGATGCTCTGGCATTAGCGAAGCCAGCTGTTAGACAAGCATTGTTACAGCAAACCCGTGTACTGAACTGCAGTGCGAAGCCATCCTAGCTGTGAATTTGCTTACAAGTTTTCTGTCAATTCTTAAAATATATTATACTCATCATGCTGATAGACTTTCTCTGAATGATTCATCCATTCATGTGATTGTATCAGCATACATTATCATAACAGCTTCTCTTAAAAGATTGCATAGCATATATGATAAATTCAGTGTTATGAAATTTCAGAGACAGTACATTTCTTTTTTGTTGAATTCTTCTCATAAAAGAACAAAGTGTCATATTCAYCAGTGCTATATAGTCATGAAATTAAAAACCTTATCACGATCAAAATCATCAAGAGAATAGAACAGAAATAGCAATCAAAAATGTCAGCTGAATTTGAAGAACTGCATAATTAAAATCTTACTCCCCAAACTGAATCAAAGTCACATTTGTATGCTGCGATTCTTTTAGGGAGGTGTTTTTTTTTTATTGTTGGTGTATTTATCAGCATGCATTTAGATGCAAAAGCACGATTTGTTCTACTAATAAAATAAAAGATAACTTTAAAAGTTGATTAGTTTTTGCAACATCTTTTATCAAGCTACCATGCATATTAACTTCTACATTTGAGCATTAAAAGCCCTCACTACATAATGCAATAAAATTCTGCTTTAATAGGACATTAACACTGTAAAAAAAAAAGCAACCCAGATACGTGTTCAGCATTTCTTGCATTTATTTCTTCATCCGTAAGCAGGTAAGTAAATAAAATTCCTCATATTATGCAATTATTTCATATCTCTGGATCCCCATATGGGATTTTACAGATCATCGAGAAAACTTTAACATTAGGTATATTCATCTTCAGTAAAAGAGCAACTAAACAATGAGTCTTAAGGACAGAGCCTGTATAAAAAAAATGGATAAAAAAGTGGGTCAATACAGTATACTACCCCCAATTTCTATAGTCTGTAAATAGACTTAAAGCTGGAAAAAAAAAAACTTTTAATTAAATAACCATTAGCTTAAACTCTACAGCTGATCTGACTACACATAATTTGACCCCCATGTTTATAGAAACAAAACATTATATAATTACAAAATATAATTAACTACGCTAATTAAGCTATAAAATAACAATAACTCTCAGTAAGTATGTCACTACAATTTGCTGCTTAACTCACTTAATTCATGACTGTAAAGGAAGGCTAAAGGAACTAGATACAGGAGTGGAAGACTTCATCCAGACTCAGAATTCAACTAAAGTTTGAAAATCTGTAGGAATAATTGGTGAAAAATCAGTAGCAGCCTGTGCAGCAGATGATTGTTCAACAGTGAAAACGGGTGTGAGTGTGCATGGCTGCAAACACCATTCCTGTAGATGGTGGCCCTTCTGCAATCTGAAAGGACATGAGTTTTGTCTCAAGATTTGTTAACAGCATCCCCCAAACAGCAGTTCAGCCAGCATTGCTCTTACAGAGGAGTTTGATAACTACCCACAGAAATGTTTGATTGATAGGGAAGCAAAACTGGGTGTTTTTACTTGCAGAGCACAATAGATGAAATTACTTGATAGTGCCATCATGCAGGAAGAGAGAARCCTCTTTCACTCCTTAGACTCACAGCACTATCACGGAGCAAATGAATACTTTTATTTTGGTTCTTATGTTCAAATAGATCTTTATACACTGTACTAAAAATTGTCCTAACAGATCTGACCTTTTAACCACATGAGCTATCAACTGTTGCACAAGATAAATATATGAGAGAAATTTTCAGGAACAAGTCATATGACAAAAAATTCTACTTAATGTTTTTTAGYTGTTTATTAACTTGTGAGTTCCTTCTTTCTTTTGCTGTTTTTTTTTTTTTTTCTAATAAAGTATTTCTGCCTAAGCAAGCAAATTAGCTAAAATATCCCCTGCTATCTTGCCCTTACTCAGTAATCAAAATCCTTACTGAAATAATTTACTACAATATTAGGACTGTTTCTTGAGTGGWATCCCTTCAAGATATTGGCAACACACCACTGGGTTCCCCAGGAAAGAAAMATCTTCTTTACTAGAAATACATATTATTGCACCATCYACTATACCACCTAAAAACTCAGCARCCCAGGGGTTGRACTGTTCATCACAGAATGGAACCACTTAATGTGTCACTCCAGCAGATGGTGATGGGGCAGGTGGAGGGCTTTTATTTTCATTTATTTCAAGTGAGTTTTGATTTATTCTCCAAGAATTTTCACCAAGAAMTTCTCTCCCTCGCCTTCATAACCCACTGCATTAGGGTGCCTGGCAAGTCAGTGAAGAGGAGAGAGGGTAACATATTTTTGTGTGAGTCATATGCTGGTAATAGTCTGAGYTATTTTACTGTCTAAAGTAGCTCTTTCATCTCACAGGTAGTTTTACTACTGCTGGTTAAAGGTTTAAAAGAATGTATGGTCAGTCTATCTCAGGGGCAGCCAATAAACAGTCAGAAAACACACTGGGGAAATTTTAAATCAGAGAGTTCAAATATTATTTAGARGCAGCAAGTAAAAAAGACATTCCACCACAACCCTGTGATCACAAATGCAGCTTTATTTAATGTATCTCTAGAGCTTGTGACTTATAAGGGTCAATTTGGTAGCATTCTTTAGAAACGTTTTTGAGATTTCATCCTTTTAGTTGTTCAAGAGTACACTTATAAGAAAAAAAATAGCACAGTTAGTGTCACCCATAACTCTTTTATAWGAATCCACATAATTTAAACATATGTATTATGTATTTTGCCTTCCTCCCAAACTGATCATCCATCCACAGAGATGTAAAGATCATTGCTGACATACACAATTCAGGATGTGAAGTCATTCACAAGTCTTCCAGGATATAACAGCAATAATAGAAGTAATACAATCGTAATTATAATTAAACCTGTGTATAACATTAACGTGAAGTCAAACAGTTTGTTCCAAGTATGTAGGTTTTTGAAGAGCTTACTCTCTGTACAGGAGTTTCTTCTTCCAAACCATGGAATCCAAGGTTGAGAGCCAAAAAGGCATCACCTCTCTGATCACCAATTGTCACCATACCCATGATGAACATATCTTTTCTTTAAGTGAGTTTCTTTAATTTCCATCTAATCAAGATCTTGGAGACATGTAAATATGCAATTACTCATTTTTACTTAAGAAATGTGTGTGCACACACTTTTCCTTTTTTTTTTTTTTTTTTTT